GGGTTTTTAGCAAGGATACTACTTTGGGATTGGGCGAGAAACTTCACTCTTTAATTATAAAAAAGAAGACTTGATTTTAAGCCCTTCGTCAGCAAGGACTTATCAACATGTACTCCAAGTGTGGAGATTTGTTGTAGGCAACCAAAGTCTTCTATCGTTGAACCCAATATCATGGAACACCATGATCGACGCTTTTGTTTTTCATGGGGATGGCTCTAAAGCTCTACAATTATATAAAGAGATGGTATAAATTAAAAGGTGAGCAGTTGACCCATGTTACATTTCTCTCCTTGCTCCATCATGTAGCAATGTTGGCCTCGTTGAAAAGAGCATGCAGTTCCAAAGATCCATGATTGAAGTTCATGGAATTTATTCCATGACAGAGCACTATGCCTGTCTTGCTACCATAAATGTGAGGCCGGCAAGTCTCCTCAATGAAACCTAGAGTTTTATTGCAGAATTTCCACAATAATTCCGAATTTGGGAAATATGCGGCTGACAATTGCTTTTGGCAGAACCAGAGATCAAGCCCATTGGCTTAAGTTTTTATGGCCAACATATATTTTTTGTTAGGTAAATGTAAAGACCCAGCAAGGATTATCAAGAGAAAGAAGGAAATGGGGGTTTGGTGAAAGAAATTGGTGTAGACCTTGTAGAAGATGGCGGCTTTTTATTCACTACCTTCCACACTTTTTATTTAGAATTGAATAAACTGGCATATTTTATTTCTTGATCTCTCCCATGTTGTACGCAAGGCCTGTAGAACAAATCTCCATAGAACCTTAACTTTAATAAGAAAAACCAGATGGAATTATGAAAGCACTTCTAGTTAGTGAGATTATTAGATTAATCTATGGCTATCTGGTGGGTGGTGGCTTCATGTCTTCATTCAACTGTTCTAAAGTTGAAACCATCACAGAGATGTGTAGACCAAAGCTACACTTGCCCATATTCATGTGCGGATATGGTATCTCACGCCTTTATGTCTCTTCTGGTGGGTTAAGCTTATCCCTCATGTGGAGAAATAGCCAAATATTTATTGGACTAAGGCCATACTTGTAAAGCCCACTTTAAGCCATGCATTTTTGCAACCCCTTAAGCAAATAGGTCTGATTAGGGCACAAAGATAGTGGAGAGCTAGAGAAGGCGAAAGAAAATAGGGAAGAGTTCTAAGTTCTAGTACTCTATATAGTTTTGTTATTTTGTTTGATTTGTAAAAGTTCACTATTGTATTGAGTTGAAATTTTGTCTCGATATTCATGAGATATCAATTTACATTCTAAACAATCAATTTTTCTTATGAAGTTTTGTAATTTCTAATTTCGTGTCAAAAACAAAAGCTTGTTTTTCAATGATTTATTTCTCTTATGGTTTCATTTTCTTTGTCACTTCGTGGCCTATTATTCTTTTTGTTTGATGTGTTTTTATGTATTTTTTAGAAGAGAATACTATGTACTCTTTTTTATTACAGTAGAATTATTTTCAGTCAACTAGACATTGTGTGGTTTTTATTCTTTTTTAAGGTTTTTACATAAATATCTTATATCTCTTGTGGTAGTTGTTTTGCCATAACCATATTTGTTGTTTTACATATTTTAGTTGTTGTTATAATATTTCTTGAGCTCAATTTAGCGTATTCCTAACAGTTTTAGATTGATTTGAGAAGATTTTGATATTGCTTTTATTTCTGTTGCACTCAGGTGACACCTGCTCTTCCCAACATCTTTAACCAGTGCCGCAATAGCAACTCGGATATACTCTTCGTTATACCATTTTGAAATAATTGCACTGCAACTAAATAAAAAGAAATTGCCATTATTTCTCCGTTCATCAGTACTCTTTATTTGACTTTTTGATTTTTTAAGACAAAAAATTAAAATAAAAATTTAACACAAAAATGAGTATCAATTTGTATTGTAAAAAATTAAGTAAAAAGTTTTTAAAACTATGACATTTTAATAAAATCTCATTAAAAGAGACTAAACATCATAATTTTTAAAACAAGAATAA